TCTTCTTCTTCTTCTTCTTCTTCTTCTTCTTCTTCTTCTTCTTCTTCTTCTTCCTCTCTGTTCTTATTATTTATATAAAATAATTCTGTTTTGTCGTTGTTGTTATTACTGTTGCTATAATTACACAGCTAGATCTTTAGTTTGCATGTAGTGCATTTATGTAAGATCCACACTTATCCCAAGGAGGTTTGTTTTAAGCTCCTTGACTAATCCCCAACTTTTCCACACGAATTCCGTGCAGGGAGACAACCCCTTGAAAGACCTTTAATCTTGTCAAAGATGATTTATGCTCCCTGGAAGTGATAGCGACATTGATAATCATAATAAATTATATATTATTATCTTTATTTTATTTATATTATTATTATCACTCAAGGCACAATAGCCTTTCGGTCGATGGTGTGTCAACATGGCTGTGGGCGCACTGGGAACGTTGTGTAAACTCTAGGCAGTGCGTCTTAATCATAAACTTATGGTACATGACGGACAATGTGCATACAGTATCCAAGACAGTGTTCTTTGAAATACCTCTAGTTCTCCACGAAGTGCACACATATATACATAGTTTGGAACACCAATTGAAGGGCATGGAGGAAGGAAGGAGAGGTCGCGGGTCTATAGCGAGACTTGTGTAGTGTTTGCCCTTCATTAGCGCGTCCTTTGTACCCATCTTTTTAGCGTAGATTTGTATAGAAGGCGTCGGCAATGGCAGTGTCTGGTTTATGATATTGTTATAATTCAAGTCTACTCACGGTCTTATTGTATTAATATTTATAAACCAGCTTTGTTGCTTGGTTTTTATTGTAAATATCGATTGCAAAATGGAATGATGAAAGGGCAGAAAGGGGGGGGGGGGGGGAGCCTGCGGTTTAAAATGGATATCTCGTAATTAAGCCGGACCGTGAAATGACCCTCAGATGACGTGATATACGGACCTAACTAGACACTTCAGACTCCGCTTGTTCATTCAGATTTTGTCTTTAATATCACGACACTTTTGTCCTACTTACAGAATCAGACACACGCTACAGCACCTGCCAACCACTCACACACCGGTGTCTGTGGTGAAGCGGTTAGGTTCTTGGCCCTCAAACACAGAAGGCATCATTTTGATTCTCGAGAGGGTTTTTTAAAAATAACAAGTACTTCCGACTCTCTGTTGTGATCAGGTTTTACCCTAACAGGCGGTGCGTCGAAGTAGCTCGCCTCTAAAATATTTTAAAATATAATTAAAGGGGACAAAATGACTTCATTAAGAAAGTAACGTTTTGCTGATTTAAATATAACTGAATTCTTCATTACATGACACACGTCAAGGGGGACTACACCACATAGCATTTGAAAGAAGTGATTGGAAGGCTTTACATCGGAGGTATGGCCATTGCAAATGATCCAACTCGTAGAATTGAAATTTCCCACTTTAGTCCAGCATTTTTCTCGAGTCCACATCTAGGTTACTTTTACACCCTTTATTATTCTGAGCACCTCTATTGTTGATGAGCTCGGAAAAAAAATCATAGTTTCTTACTTTCTTCTCAGGTATGGTTGACTATGCCAGGGTATATTGCCGTTGACAAGCACAGGTTCAACCTGGAAGGACTTCAACTGCTTGTGTACAACAGTAGCTCTGAGAATGTGCAAGAAAAGGCAATGACAAGGTTGCGAGACATTTATTGGAAAAATGAGCCTCATGATCTTGAGTACCTGACCCAGTGCATGCTAATCTACACAGATAAGGTACTGAGAGACAACGAGTTCTTCGAAGCTGCCAGGTTGGTTGGGTGTTTTGTCTCCTTGATTTCGTGCTAATTCCAAGCTCTACCAGTGTGGATTGGGTGTGTGTGTATGTATGTGTGCGTGTATGTGTGTGTGTGTGTGTGTGTGTGTGTTTGTATGTGTGTGTGTGTGTGTGTGTGT